CATCCCTAGCCTTTGGATTGATTGATTGATTTTTCTTTTTTTTTTTTTGAAATGGGAATCTCAGTAAGTAGTTCATGCTGGCCTTGAATTCATTATGTAGTCCAGGCTGTCCTCAAACTCATGGCAATGCTCCTGCCTCAGCCTCCCCAGTGCTGGGATTATACCACCACACTTGGGCAATGGACTAGTTTTGAGGTAGTGTCCCGCTCAGTTAAGTCCCCCACGTTGGGCTCAAATTTATAAATCTTCCTGCCTCAGCTTCCTGAGTAAATGGGATTACAGGTATGTGCCAGCACACTTGGCTTGAAACTGCTTCTTATCCTGTGTCCTTTATCTCAGCAAATAGCACTCTTAGTGATGGCAGGAAATTGGAATTTTCCTTCCTTTATCCCCGCTTCCTCTTTCTCCCCCTGCAATCCATTCAGTCTCTAAATCCTGTCAGATTCTCCAAATCCCACCAGACACTCCCTGATTTCACTCTCTCCTCTCCAGCTCAGGTGCCTTCCTTTCCCCCTTGGATCACAATGGCAGCAGTAGCAGTCTTCTCACAACTCTGCCTGCCTCAAACTCAGTCTCCTGCCAGCATGTACACTTCCAGCACATTAAGCTTTTAGACATGTATCTCTGCCAGGCCAGTGCCTAAGATCGCTCAGGGGTCCCCTGGTTGCAGGCTAAAGCATCGGCCTGACATTTAAGGCCCTTCGCGATCGGCCCCTTTGAGTTTCCATTTGTATCTCTGGAAACTCCCCATTGCTGCTCCCACCCGAGCCAGGCAAGTGGCTTCTTAGTCCCTTCAAGCAATTCTTTCCCACATTCCCCAGAGTGACACTTGTTCCAGTGTAGGTACTGAAGAGAATGATAAGGAGACATCATTGGGAGAGAGGTTTGGAGAGAGGTTTGGAGCTGATGGAAGTTACAGCATTGCCAAGAGAGGCCAGCGCTGTCTCCCTGAGCTTCCTACCTGCAGGGAGTAGGAGCAGGAGTAGGAGCAGGAGCAGGAGGCTCCGGCAGAGGTTATAGCTTCGTGGCCCCATGGCTCTGCCACAGCCAGAGGTGGAGCGGGTCTCCAGGCCAGACCTTGGTCCGTATCGGGCTTAGCTGACAAGGCAGTGTGGACAGGCCCTGGAAACGAGAAAGGCTTAGATGGCTTAGCGGGGGGGGGGGTCCAGCTACTCTCTGGGGAGCCCTGTTGCCCTTCTGGCTATCTGACCCTATCTGCACCTGCCTGTTGATGTTAGCACTTGGTCATTGGAATCCGCTGGTTTTCCTGTGCTGGTCCTTTTGTCCTTCAGCCTTGGACTCTGCCCTTTTCTCTGCCCGTCCCCCTCTTCTCTGTTTTAAGCTCCTTCTGTCTTTCCCCCTGTAATGACCTGGTTTCTCTGTCTCCCTGCCTCTGATCTTCCTCTGTCAGCCTCTTTCTGTTCTCCCTTTCTTTTTCTATTTCAGGCCCTCTGATTCACGTCCTCCATTCCTGGCACCTGGGCTCAAATGAGCCTGCTGCTCTCAGAGAGCAAGAGGCAGGAGGGACTCACATAGGCCCAGGGCTGAAGTACAGGGCAGAGAGCCCTCCCCATATGCCTGTTATTAGCTTAATTACAGGTCTAGGACACCTGTGCCATGGGAACAGCGCAGCAGAAACTGATACCTCTGGCTGCTGAGGCTTAAATTATTCAAATTCTGTAAAGAGCACCCAGGCTCAGTTCAGGCTGTCCTAGAGTACAGGGACACAGGGTCAGGATGAGCCGAAGACCTGGGCTTCAGGCTGATGGCTGGCGCCTTGGCGGGAGCTCTCTTCCCAGTTCTGCCACTGTGGCTCCCTCTAGAACGGAGGCTGTCCTCCTGGTGAGGGACTGAGAACCTCAGGATGAGCACTTCGTGCCAAGCTTCTCTAACGAGTTAGGCTCGCTTCAGGGACACACACAGATTCACAGGCATTTACAGCCCACCAGAGCTCATTTGGATTACTTTTGTCCAAGTTGGCTTGACAACAGTCAAACTGCCCTGACAGTTCCATCCGTGGCTGTGACTTCAGCTGTGGTGGCGAGTCTCTCTTCTTTCCGTGCCCCTGCTCTCTCCCAGGTACTAGATGTTTGTCTCCATCCACCTCCCCCAAATCCCCCGCTGGGTGTTACATGAGCTTTTCACATCACTTCACAGCGGAACTGCACACACAGCCCAACACCTATTCATGCTAAAAATTCTCAGCAAACTGGGAACGAGGGAAATGTCCTCAGTTTAATAAAGAACACCTACTGAAACCTCTTCTGCCAACATGGAGGCTCAAACAAGAGGGAAAGGCAAGTGGGGAGGCTAGAGGACTGATGCAGAGGAGCTTCCTGGTGATGCTGAAGGAGAATGACCTCCTCTGCCCTCTGAGGTTTCTGCTTTGTGTCCACCAAATGCAGTTTGTTAATTTCAGAATTCTTTTTAACGGCAAAATGATTTGAAAGGAAGGTAAACCCCCCCCTTTTTTTACATGCCTGTGGACCTGGGGATTAAAGTGCTCTACCTTTCAGCTACTTCCCTATCCCAGGAAGGCATATCAACCATTTAAGAGGTTGGGGGGTGCGGGTGCTGCACAGATGTTCAACCCCTGGCACCAAAACAAAGACAAATCCCCCAAAAAATATTTGTGAACATTTTGCACTTGATCTTAGCCAAAAGGCTGAGACGTGCTGTGTGAAGGTTTTGAGGTAGTATGAGAAATCACATGTGATGTCCTAACAGGTGATACTTGTATCGCCTTCAGAGCAAGGAGAGATGGGATAGGGACGGGAACATGTGTTAGGAGAGGAAAAACAAAACAAGGTACAAGTTAACCAATCAGGACGTTTATTTCAAGATCAACCTGAGAGGGATTGCTGTGGCACGTAGACCAGGCCAGGAACTCCTGTACAGACCGTGAGGTTACGAGCATAAGGGGACTGTGAAAAGGGAAGGTCCGAGTGGGACTGTGGAGGGGAAGAGTTCAGTGGAAAGGAGTTAGGCTTGAGAAAGCACAGGAGTGGTGGTTGCCTGCCAAGGCGGGGCTGAAGAATGAGGGAAATTATGAACCCATGATTATACAGCTCTAGCAGGTATAAAAGCATAGCGGATGGAAGAGGCTTTAAGTTGCCTCCAGTCAGCCTGGCAGCAGTGATTCTTTCAGCATGGACTGCTGGACAGACCAGACTGGAGGGGTTCTAGTCCCATGTCCCCCACTCATGAGCTGTGTGATTCTCTGCAGTTTCCTTATCTTCTCTGCCTTTGATTTTCTTCTTTTTAAAAATGTGGATAATAATACAAGCTGGATTGTCTTAAGTATTAGGTAATGTATGTAAAACTGCCAGGCAGAAAATAGAGTCTGATAATTATTAATTTTCTTAAAAATGTTGAAATATTTCTATAGTTTGGGATGAAAAAAATAAATTTGAAAAATATTAGAAAGTAGATTGAAATTAAAATTTCTTACCGGGTATGGTTGCGCACGCCTGTAATCCCACAACTTGGGAGGCTGAGGCAGGAGGATCGCTGTGAGTTCAAGACTAGCCTGGGCTATGTAGGGAGTTCTAGGTCAGTCTCAACTGCATAGTGAGACCTTGTCTCAAAAAAAAATTTTTTTTTTCAAAAGTTGGGTAATTTTAAGAAGCTGTTATATAATTAGTATATGTAATAATTTAAAAATGAGATCAGCACACCTGAAAAGATACAGGAAATACAATACTGAAAATGACACCAGGCACAGATAAGGCAGAGGCCCTGAATAATTAACTTGAGGAAGCTGTCTGGGCTTCAGTGAGTGAAGTGCGAAGGGCAAAGAACATGTCTGTAAATGAACTAGTAGGAGACAGCAGCTTTCTAGACATTGAAGGCCTGGCTGTGAGTGAAAAGCCAGCATTCCTGTGTTGTCATGTACACCTGTACCAAAGACTGGAGAGAAGGCCCCATATAGAAGATAGTTTTAAACATCCTTTTATTCTAATAAAACATGCGCCACGTTATTCCTGATGACCTGCTATTTTGTTGCTTCAATCTTTGTTACTTCAGAACAAGGACCCAGAATGGGAGATAGCTGGTACAAAATGATGTATCTTGGCCACAATTACGATATCAAGTGAAAATTTGACAGCATTAGAAAGGGTGAATCGGGCTGACAAAACCAAATAAATAATCAAGGTGGGACAGGCAGGTATGTCTTCTGAAATGATAAAAATATTATAAAAAAAACCGAGTCAAATCTAGATGCCCCAAGCTTTCTAAAGGACAAATGATCTAGGTACTTCAAGAAGTAAAGGACATTAAAAAGATGAAGATGGAGGGCTTTTATTCTTTTGGTACCGAGGATTAAACTTGGGTCCTTGGGCTTGTGAGGCAGGCAGCGGAACCACTGAGCTAAATCCCCAGCTCAAGGGCTGACTTATTAACCACATGCAAAGTATATTGTTTAGACCTGAAAAAACTTAACTTTTGAAACATTTGGGAAAACTTGAAAATACAGTATTAGTTGAGGTTTAGGGATTATTAATTTTGTTCGGTGTAACTATGGCATTGTGATTTATAAAAATTCACTTGTTAGAAAGACAGATATTGAACCGGGTGTGATGGTACACACCTGAAATCCCAGCACTTGGGAGGCTGAAGCAGGATAGCTGAGTGAAAGACCAGCCTGGGTTACATGGTGAGTTCAAGGCCAGCCTCAACTATGTAGTGAGACCCTGTCTCAAACAACAAAACATCCCCCCTGCCAAAAAAACCCCAACCAAATGAAAAAGTTAAAGATATTGATGAAAGGATCTGCCTTAGAAATAACATCATCAAGTAGGTAGAAGTATTCGGCTTGATTTGGTCAAGAAATGGTTAATGCGTATGTGCTTGATTCCAAGCTACAGTTTAACAGATACAAAACCTGCTGCTCTCAGAACAACATGAAGCAGAGGCGAGTGGTATGGTCTCGGAGCAGATAGAACACAGGATGGGCTGTTACAGGAAAGACCACAAACTACAGTGCAAAGTACAGTACAGCATCTTCCCTGCCATGACCACTGCACGGACTCCCATGTGACTCGTGCCAGACCCCTCTCCCACTGCCCTATAAAAACCCCTGCCTTTCATCTGTTTGGCGCTGACTGCCATTTGCTTGCCCTCAGTCCACCTCCACCCAGATAATAGTCTGTATCTTTGCTTTCAGCCAGCCTGCCCCAGTGGTCTCATTTCTTGTCGGTACAGGAAATAAGTAGTAAAGATAAAGCAAGACTGAAAATTGTGACAGTGCTGCATGTGGGTTCATTACACTGTTTTACTTTGCATAGGTGAAAGTTCTGTAACACAAGCTTTAAAAAAAACCTTGGGGGAAAAAAAAACAAAACAAAAAACCTTGGGATCATTGTTTCAGGCCAATTTGAACTATGTAGAGACTGTTAAAAAAAAAACAACAACAAAAAAGGAAACCCTGAGAGAATTGTTTAAAGCAAAAGTAATAGATATTCCTTGTGTAATAACTTTTAGATTTACAACTGAGGCACTTTTTGGACTTGCAACCCGTGCTGACTTAAAACCTGCATTCAGACTTACACACAGGCATGTGAACAGCGCTGTGGCCTTATGGTGGCTTCTTCTACGGTACAGTACTGTAATTTTGGCTGAGTATACAGTACAGAAAGGTAGGGTGTTTTTTGTATCAGGGATCAAACTTGGGACCTTGTACTTGAGAGGCAGATGGTGGAACCACTGAGCTAAATCCCCAGCCAGGTACTATAGTTTTGTTTTGGTATATATTACAGTACTGCAGGTAAGAGCTGGGCAAATAAAAGCAAAATCATCAACTTGGAGTTTTCTTTGACCATTTCTTGGTTCTGAATATTGTAACTTACATACTGTGCACAATACATTTGGCAGCCAATTCATTTAACAACCTAGTTGTGGGACTGGAACCCAGTCTTTAAAGGAGGAGCATCTGTACAAGACTGAACTCCAAAAAACATCAGTTAAGTCTAAGAGCGGATTCTTTGAAAGCCAAGGAACAAAAAAATCTGGACTAATTTTGTAAAAATATAAAAAATAAAACTGAATTTGGCTGGGTATGGTGGCCTATG